TGGGGGTCATGGAACAGAAGCAATCCGGTCAATGAGGCAACAAGGTCTGACAAGGGAAATGAAGGGAGGGTACTAGGGCGGGGACTTTGGAACCAAAAACCGGAGAACCGAACCGGACCGAACCGTTATGACCCGGTTCGGTTCGGTTCCAACATTTATTAGTTATTTGTTAACGGTTCGGTTCCTAATTTTTATTAACGGTTCGGTTCTCGGTTCCTGAAAAAAATATGTACCAGGAACCGTTAAGGAACCGTTATATATAATAATTAAAATTAAATATTTTTTTATGAATATATATATATTGTAATGTATATTTACTTATTTATTTTTACATTATATTCATTATTTTAGTTTAGTTATTTAACTATTTAAAACTATTATTTATTTCAACCGGTTCTCTTAGGCTTCTTAGGCCTCTCATTAGGTCCAAACTCCAGCAGGTCGGAACTCGGAAGGTCCAATGTATTTAAAATTACTATTCTCTTTAACTGGTTCAGCATATATATATTGAGATTTCAAACGTTGAATGTCTTTTTGGCAAAAATTTAGTCGTGATTTGTAAGAATTTTTTCAAAGACTAGGAACCGTTAAATGACAAGAACCGAACCGTTAAGAACGGTTCGGTTCCTTATCGGTTCTTTAAAATAATTTATAAGAACCGAACCGTTAGTAAAATTTCATATTTTCAAACGGTTCCACATATTTTGCCTAGGAACCGAACCGGTCCCAGGCCTAGAGGGTACTTTGGGTTTAATCAAAATAGTTGTCTAATAATTATCCTCAAACTTGTAATTATTTACAAATAAACCTAGAAGCTATTAAAAGCATCCCTATACATGCTTTGAGTTTTTGGCTTAAAAGCACCTTAAATTAAGTGGAAGTTGGGTCTTGCAAACACCACTTTTAGCTTATTTTAGAAAATAAGCTAAAAGTGTTTGAAAACACTGCCTTACTCCCATTTAAGGAATTATCTCTTTGAACTTTGAAACGTGAAATAAGAGGAGAAAAGGAAAAATAAATAAAAAGTGTCTTTAACTTGTTATAGCAGGTTAGCTTCAGGTCAGATGACCTCTTTGATTGATTTATAGTAGTAAATGGGTTCATGTGATCCTTTTTTAAGTATATTGGTTTAGATGATTTTTTCATAATAGTAGAAGGGTCTATGACTCTATGTGACCCTTTTTCCTTTTGCTTTTAATATTCCTGAATAATTATGAAATAAAAAATACACATTTTGACGTGAAAATAAGTAAAATTTCATTACATTTTTTACGTTTTTCGGTTGACAAAAAATAAACTTAGTTTAAGTAAAATTCGATTATGGAATATTCAGTTAATTGTGAAGTCTCCATAAATTAATATTTTGTGTTTCGTCTTTTTTTTGTGGTTCAAGGAAACTTCATCAGTTAAAACTTTTTTTTCGTCTTTTAAGTTAATCTTTTTCTTCATTTTATATGTTACATAGATGTCTTTACAATCTATGTGAAGTCATCATGACGTCAACCCAATGCATCGTGAAAGTAACTTTTGTAATGCTTTGCAGGAATTTAATTGTCCGAAAGTATTTCTGCATTTGATGTAGCTAAATTTTATTAATATCATTTCCAAATTTTGTTACAATTTGTTATAGTATTTCTTAATGTTTTCAATTTTTATTTGAACAGATATTGCTTTCTGAATGTGCCCCTGATTTTGTTCAAAAGTTTGTTGTTAGAGTGCCTCAAGGTATTCCTACTCAGTCTAGTATATATTTCTACTCCGTATCACATTATTCACCTTTTAACAGTAACGTGCCTTTACATCTTCGACCAACGTTTGGTCCACTACCGTTTGGTGCACCACCATTTGGTCGACCAACATTTCACCGATCAACATTTTGAAATTTTGTATATCATCAATCAAACCTATTTTTGTTATAGACTTATAGAGGGTGCGGAGTATACTACTACATACCTCAAAAGAGGTTAATTTTACTTGGATGATGAACATGGAGTCTTTAGAAGATACTCACCCGAATATTGAGGTGGATAGATATGTCAAAGCTTTAGAACAAAAATTTGTCTCTATTCTAGTCTCTTGCAAAGGGAAGGTATGAGAAGTGAACAATCTTACAATCAAAGAGAAGTTGTCTCCTAAAAGATGAAAGTGCCGAAGAAGAAAGCAGATAAGGTGGAGAGGAGGAGGAAAGATGAAGAATATAAAAGAAATCAAACTTCTCATCCTCAAACTCAGACCACACAAACTTGTACTTCGAGACACACATATTCCTTTCTCTCCCTCAGTTCTAGGGCCGGATCCAGGATTTCATGTTGGACTGGGCTGAAAAACTTAATTGATAATACATTAAAAAAATTCAAAATAAGCAAACAAAAAAATATCTAAGAGTTCTCCACTAAATTTGTTCTCGACGAAGCTTTGAAACAAAAAAACTCGTCAATTATAGAGTCTACATCTATACTAAGAGTATGACCTTTTTCAATATAAAGTGTATTGCAATTAACAAAAAAGTCATCATCCATTTTGTCGCGGAGTGTTGTCTTTAAAAATTTCACGACAGAAAATGATCATTTTATTGTTGTAGTGAAAACAATAAGATCAATACAAAGCGAATCAATATGCTGATCATAACATATGAAACAGATCTTTTACTCTTAGTCAACTGCTCACATAATTCAACAAGTGTAGATACTCGAAACTTTGTATCATGAATCACATCATGAGCATAGTGTTGTCGCTCGAATTCAAAAGCATTACTAAAACCTTCGGGATAGAACTTCCTTACAAGAGATTACAAATAGCATCGGCATTGAATGACACATATGAACTTTCGGGATCCAATGAAGCACTCAAAGAAAGGAGTTTGATCCATTGATTTATCATTAAATCAAGTCCTTAACTTCAACAATACAAAGTCTATTGCCTCATTGAAAACATCAAAGTGCTAATGAGTGCTCAACTGTAGTTTCTTTTCGGCAATGACCAACCATATATTTAGAATTCAATTTCGGTACAAGAATTTCTTTTTTGAGCAAAACTCCTTTGCTTCTTCAAGAAAGCCTTCACATCCATTTTATGTCACTTCCCCGAGAATGAGTTGCGTAGTAGAAACATGTCTCATTGCTATCAAGATATCCAATAATTGTTTGAAGGTCTTGACAAAGAATACTCGTTATATCAAAAGTGAATTGAACACAAATTCAAAACATGGAAAGTGTCTATATACACTATGAACTTCTGCCCAAGAACTCACTTTTGGGCAATGTTCTTGAATATACTCAAACACTTTACAAGTTGATGTGAATCATATTTGAATCATATTTTATTGTATTTATTACATTTATTCCTTTTGGGCTTTACGGCCCTTATACGATGTACAAAAGTGCCTCTTGTTAAGTGGGAGGTAATTCGTATAACATTTAGATTAGATTTTTAGATGGAATGATTTTGTTTTATGGGTTGGGTTGAAAAATTGGATTGGGCTATAGAAAAAATTGGGCTGGGCTGGATAGAATTTTGTGAAAATAATACCTTAAAAAAATTAATTTTTTTAACTTTGCCCTGGGCTTCAGCCCACCATAGCCCTAACATAGATCCTCCCCTGCTCAGCTCACACCAAACAGCCATCTGAGTTCACTCAACCTCATGTCAATGAAAATTCTTTACAATCATTTATTGACAAAAAGTTAGAAGAATTGGAGGCAAGGTCAACAGAAAGGCATAATGTACTTGTAGAGAGAATAGAAAGGCAGAACATACTTGTAGAGATATTTGAGAGGTTATTTCACAAGGTTTGTCTTGATTCTATTGCAAGACGTACTTCTAAATGATTATAGTACATTGACAGAGAAGAGGGGAAACAGAAAAATGTTGACGATGAGGCTAATATATACTCACTCCGTAACTTAAAAATCTTCTCACTTTCCTTTTTCGTCCGTAACACAAAAATCTTCTCATTTCTAAATCTTCCCATCATACCCTCAATAATTCTTAAAATAATACTCCCTCCGTAACATATATATGTTCCCATTTGAAAAGTAGGTAGATTAAGAATAGTGAAAGAGGATATAAATTATTGAGGGTATGATGGGAAGATAGTGAAATAATGTGATGGAATGAAGGATAAATCCAAAAAAAGTAGGTGTAATAGTGTATTATTTTTAGAATTATTGAGGGTATGATTGGAAGATTAAGAAATGAGAAGATATGAATGTTACATCCAAAAAAGGAAAGTGAGAAGATATAAATGTTACGGAGGGAGTACACTATTACAACTACTTTTTTTGGATTTATCCTACATTCCACCACATTATTCCACTATTTTCCCATCATACCCTCAATAATTCATATCATCTTTCACTATTCTTAATCTACCTACTTTTGAAATGGGAAGATTTTAAAGTTACGGAGGGAGTACGTTATAGTTATTGGTCGATAGAAAAACACACATTAATTTATTTAGAATTTACTTTTCTATTCCCTTTCAAGGAATCATATTCTCAAGTTGAGGATGGGGCTGAGCATAAATAGAAAGAGGTGAAATTTACCATTATAGTTATTGTCCGACCAAAAAAACACATTGTAATAAGGTTGAGAAAACACATTGGGTAGATCATATGTAGTCTATAACTTTTGTCCAGTTTTTTCAGAAAATCTAAATAAATTGATACTCCGTATTATAATAATTCTAATCCAATTCGCCATCTTTTGACAAACCTAATCTCACCTAAATGAGTATTTGATGAATGTGAAATTGTGAACTTCATTTTAGTATGAAATTTATTTCCTCCATCCCACTTTGTTTTGTCAATTTTTCATTTTTATTTGTTTCAACTTGTCACTTTCCTTTTAAAGCAATAAATCTATGATGATGTTCATTTTTCATTATTCTGCACAAATCTTAATCATATATTTCCTAATATTTTAATTTCACACTCAATATCAACTTAATAAAGTTTGAGTGGGATCGAGTTAACATGATAATATGTAAAGCAATGATATGAGTCACTATCAATATTACTATGGTTCTGGCTAGGCGCTTGCAGGTCCAACGAGAGGGTGATAACTGGATATGGGCAGACTTTCATTATGAGAGACTTCCAAATTTCTGTTTCCAGTGGGAGATCCTCGGTAACGAAGACTGTTTTTGTCTTTCTAATCCACACAGTGGCTCATGGTTTGGTGAGAAACCTTACAGGTCATGGTTACATGCTGATTTTGAGGCAGGTGGCTCACACCCAGGCAACATGTGGCTGATTCCTAGCAATAGCAGACCAAGGGACGGAAGGGGTGACAGGGTGGTCTCACGTAGAACGACAAGTGAGCAGGAAAGCTACGCGGTGGAAGGGTCTTCTATTGAAGGGCAAGGAAAAGACTATTATCCAGGAAGAATCAAGGAAGTGCAGGGTCATTGAGCTAGTTAGTGAGGAAGATGTTCAAGCAAGTATGGATGTGGACAAGGCAACTCCAAAAAACTCGCAAATGACGGTTACGTCTGGGAAGCACCGCTACTAATAGGGGATTCTGGTGTTATGCAGGATGAACCTTTGGCGGGGGATGGTCAAACCGTTTTCTCCTTGCCAGTGGCTGAAAAAACTAGATTATTTGCTTTTTATGATTCCCTTTTGTCTTAGAACTCTTTGTCTTTTTTTTGCCCCTTTTAGTAGCATGTGCAACATTGCCATTAATGCAGTTTACTAAATTGAGGGGTTAGCGAGTTGGACCGTTGTTAAGCGTGACTCCAGTTCTGAGTCTCATATCCCATGTAGTTTTTTATATATATGATGAATTTGTATCTGATTCTCGGTTTAATAATAATTAAGTTGTCTTTGCAAAAAGGTTCAAATAAGCCATTCTATTATGTCCAATCCATCATTTAAGCTTGTGTACTAAAAAAAGTATCAATAAGTACGTCTACTCTACAAAATTAATCAATTTGACCATTTAATCAAATTTTGATCTCTAATAACCGGTTTTTAATATTTACAAAATAAAAAAAAGTCAAAATTCAAAGAAATATATACAAAATTGGGAAAATTTTCAGAATATCAAAGTCAATATTTTTTATTTTTTAAAAATATTTGTATATTATACATCTATTTAAAAGGATTTTAAATTTTTATTTTCAAGTTTTTTAGTTTCACTTTATTTTTTCAGTTTTATGATTTTTTTTTAATATTTTTAATATTTTAAAATCTTCTACATTTATATTAATTTTATATTATTATTAGATTTTTTATTCAAATTTATATGAATTTTTGTAAGATCTATCAATATTCCTAATTTAATTTAAAAAATAACCTTCTATATGACTATATTAGGTCAACTGGCTTGGTTAATTGTATTTTAAAAGACAATTAAATGAATTAAAAGACAATTAATTGTATAATACTTTTTTTTAGTTATGACTTAAATGACGGGATGTAAGATAGAAGTATAGGACTAACATTTTTCCGCAATCTTTTGTCAATTGTCACAATTAAAAAATGTCAAATCTATAATAGTAGCAGAAGAGGGAGTATTGATGTAATTCACTTTTTTTGTCTTTTCTTTCTCCAATAATGAAACTTCATAGTGCTTGAGTGCACCAAATGTTTTTTTAAAGCCGAAGTGTCTCCTCAGCACTACTAATCATCAGCATAGTGGACTTGTCATGTCTACCTTTTAATGTGGCAAACATGTACTAAACCAACAAACCATTATTTGCTTCTTTTTGTAAACTTAATGGCATTGTTTCCAATTACTTTTTGGAGTTTTCTTTTAATACTCCTGTCATTCTTAATTAAGGAGATAAAGGTCAGATTGGTACTCGAAGTCACATAAAAAATGTCAAATAAGTCCTTACTGTCCGATCGTCACCATTTGAGGCGGTTCCCGTTGAATTTTTTTAATGAAATTTTTTAAGCATCTTATTCATTAAGTCTAGTTTACTCATACCAAATTTCATCTAAAACTTCAATCGGGAAGGCATTCAAATAAATTCTTGAAGATAATTGTGTTTTTAACTGCGCAGTTATCTTCAAGAATTCATTTGAATGCCTTCCCGGTTTAATTTTTAGCTTAAATTTGGTATGAGTAAACTAGACTTAATGAATAAGATGCTCTAAATATTTCGTCAAAAAATTCCACTAGGAACCGCCCCAAATGGCAACGGCCGGACAGAACCGCATATATAAGGACTTATTTGACCCTTTTTATGCAACTTCAAGTACCAATCTAACCCTTACCTCCTTAATTAAGTGCGAGATATTGAATTTTATATTATTTAATATTCTATTTTGATTATATTTTATTTATTACTACGTAATATGTTAATAAATAATTTTAAAAAATATCATTGAATTTGTTTCATTATAAATTTTTTATTTTTTTTTATTTTCTTACTAACATAGAATTAGGATGTTTTTACTTGGACTGTAATTTGTCCCAGACCAGACCAGATCAGACCAGACCAGACCAGATCAGACTAGACTTGGGTAGTTATAAAAATACAAAGAAACCAGATCAGACCAGACCAGATCAGACCAGACTAGACTAGACCAGACCAGCAAATTACAGTCCAAGTAAAAAACATCTTTATACTCCCTCCGTCCTGAAATGAAGTTCCCAATTTAACCTACATACATATTGATTTTCCATTTATACGCTTATTTTATGTTAAATTAAACAAATAGTGGATAAAAGTAAGGGTAGTTGTGACATTTTTGGTTATAAGTGCGATCCTTTAACAAAAATGTGAACTTCTTTTTGGGACATCAATAAAAGGAAAGTATGAACTACTTTTTTAGGCGGAGATAATATATATTAGGATGTTTTTACTTGGATCATTTTCAGTCTCAAACTAGACCAGACCAGACTAAATCAAACCATTCCGGATCGACCAAAATTAAACGTACCAGACTAGACTAGGAAATTAGAGTCCTAATAACAACATCCATATTGGCCAAATTGTAAATCGACAAAAGTGAAAAGTAAACTATTGTGCTTGGTTAAGAATAGAGGAAGTTCTACATAGTGATTCTATTACTACACTCCCGAAAAAACATGGATATCACAAAAGGCTAAAGGGTCAAATAGGTACATGAACTAACTTAAAGTGTTCAATTAACCCCTTATAAAGGAGTTTCTGCCCGGACATCGCCAATTGGGGCGGTTCCCGGTGGTTTTTTTTGATGAAATTTTTTGAGCATCTTCTTCATTAAGTCTAGTTTACCCATACCAAATTTCAGCTAAAAATTCAACCGGGAAGGCAGTCGAATTATTTTCCGAAATGTACTGCGCTGTTTAATTTTTCAGAAAATCATTCGACTGCCTTCCCGGTTGAATTTTTAGCTGAAATTTGGTCTGGGTACACTAGACTTAATGAAGAAGATGCTCAAAAAAATTCATCAAAAAATTCCACCGGGAACCGCCCCAATTGGCGACGTCCGGGCAGAAACTCCTATATAAGGGGCTAATTGAACACTTTAGGTTAGTTCATGTACCTATTTGACCCTTTAGCCTATCACAAAATAAGCTTGTTTGTTAGTTATGAACTCTAGAGGCAGGTTACTGTTTTGCTCGGGATTTTATGGTGGGTGGATGCGATAAGGCTTGTTTGGTCGTTAAAAGCTTCGAAGCTCTCACATGGTTCGCGAATAGTCTCGCTCCTTTTGGGGTGATCTATTCTATGTCTAGTCAGAGAGTGGGAGGGCCTTTTGGCTATGTGGAGCCTCACGAGGAGGTTTGACGATGTATGTTTGGAAGAACTTTGAGTATTTGGTTGATATAATATAATTAGTTTCCTTTCAAAAAAAATCTCTAAAAAAGAACTCCTTGATACAAAAATCTCAAATATTCTTGGATTGTATGATTTGTATCTAGTTTGTATTTGATTTGACATAAAATTCAAAGTTTCATTCTAAAGGATCAACCTGATAGAATGGGTAGTTCAAGATTTTAATATAACATTTTATTATTTCATATTTTAGTGGCGTGAGACTTCAATGTCCCTTCTATCATGCCATCATTCATTTTTCATAGATTCATCATTATCACTTTTTTAATCACACCATCATTATGAGTGAGTTTGGTTCTAGTACCGTATTAAGATTTAGGATTCCATTCTGGTGAAGAAGAGTAAGCATAGTTATTTCATACCCCGTCCAATCCTAAATAAACTTCACACTTTCCTTTTTGAATAGGTCCAAAATAAACTTCTCACTTCAATTTTTGGCAATTTTTTAGTATAAACTTACCTCATACTCTTACTTTATTACTTACTTTACAACTCATTTTCTCTCTCACTACACTTTATCTACTTTTTGTAGGGATATGCAGTGGCGTATCCAGAAAATTTGGCGAGTGGGGGCAAACATGCACTACAATTTAGTCTCATATTTTACAAATAGCAAATGTCATTATAACATTATTAATGTTGTTTGATTAAATTTAGTTTAAGATATATATGTACAAGTAGATATGAATAAAAAGAAGATTAATTTATATTACATGTGTAAAGATGTAACTACAGATAAAGTTTGAGAAAATTATCTAAATATAAGTTAAACATAACAAAATTTAGTGAATTTTTTAGTCTTCCATTCTTTTAATATAAAAGAAAACGTTCTTAATCCTATTTTAGATTTTGTTTCTTTATTTAACTCTAATTTTGTGCAATTTCTTATAAAATTGTAGATATATATAGGGGTAGGGTTGGGGTTGAGTGGGGGCAGCCGCCCCCGCTGCCCCCATAGTGGATACGCCACTGGGGATATGGTGGGAAAGTCAAAACAAAAAATTTGATACAATTTTGGATGAATTTGCCTTCATTTTATTTTACATAATCTAATCGGATTTGGCTGGATACTTTCCCAATTTAAATGATCTTTTAGACTTTAGAGCTCGTTTGCCCGCACGAAAAACGGGTGATTTGATTGATTCTGCTGAAATTTATGAAGTTCTGACTGAACTGACTGCATTGACTGATTGTTGGTGCAAGAATTTGACAACATCCAAGAAGCTTAACCCACGACAATTAATGACGCGTTTATTAGGATTAATGCTAGCTGATTAATTCTAGCGGTTTTATGTGTATTATGAGAGTTATTACTGTAATTAATGTGTAGGTTACTCAAATGGCTGACCGGAATTTAAGACAACATAATGACGACTTTGATGTCGTCGTAACGGTCGAAACCGTCAATAACAGGCAAAAGGAGATTAAATGTCTCTCTTATAAATAGAACCAAGCTCCATTGTATTCGGGGACCACTCATTCGAATAATACTCTAAGTTTCACTCTATTTTGCGTATTTGACATTCTTCTTGTTGTTCTTGCCATTTTCCTTACCGTTCTTGTACGAAACCCAATGAATATACAATTTCTATTTTATTTAGTTTTAGCTTGTCAAAATTTTGCTAAAACAATTTGGCACCGTCTGTGGGAAACGTGCAAGAAAAACTATCATCCATGGAAGGTCATAGCTCAATGACAATGTCGGGACTCAAGATGCAATCGAAAGTTGGGAAGGAAGAAACGAAAACTATCATCTTGTCAACTGCTCATACACCAACCGTCACCGCTGGTTTCATCTCGTTGAACTCGACAACACCTTACAGACTTAAAAATGCAGGGGGCAACTTTCAATGGCTGATGACGATGGTGTTCAAAAATCAAAGCGGGAAAACCATGGAATTGTGTGCATACGATGTGCTTATTTCGTCAAAATGTACTATTGGAGCCTCCTTATGCGGTTGGGTACTTGGGCGCATTTTCGGAAGCAAAGCAATCACAAAGAATCCAAAAACGAAAGCAAAACATTGACATCATCAAAATCACGACGACTTGTTTCTACCAATACGTCCTGTCAAGCTGCCGATGAGCCGATAGGTGCAATGAACCAAGATGCGAAGTGTACTTTCAAATTTTCGACAAGTTGATGCTTAATAGGTCGACATATGCATGATATGCCTCACCTTCTCGAAAAGGGGGCTATTGTGGGTACAGGAATTTGACAACATCCAAGAAGCTTAACCCATGACAATTAATGACGCGTTTATTAGGATTAATGCTAGCTGATTATTTCTAGCGGTTTTATGTGTATTATGAGAGTTATTACTGTAATTAATGCGTAGGTTACTCAAATGGCTGACCGGTATTTATGACGACATAATGACAATTTTGATGTCGTCGTAACGGTCGAAACCGTCAATAACGGGCAAAAGGAGATTAAAGGCCTGTTTACTAACAGAGATATTGGAAAACTGGAAAACAGAAAACAAGAAACGTGTTTACCAAAGAAATTTCTGGAAAACTAGAGAAAGGAAAAAAGAAAAACGCGTTTACCAAATCGTTTTCCAAAACAGAAAAAATGAGACACGTCTCTCTTTTCCTTAATGATTTGGAAAAGTGACTTTTACTAGTTTTCCAAATTTGGAAAACGCAGATGCTACAGTGCCGCTGCAATGAATTTGCATACTTACACCTAGTGGTGAGTCCGGTCCCGCTCCGATGTCGATTCCATTCCGGTACCTCCATCCTCGTACTTTACCCCTTACCCCTACCCTACCCACCCACCGCGTACCCATTTTTCCCTATAATGACCCTACCCCACCCCCTACCACATGCCCCTACCTCGGCCCCACCCCGATCCACCCTACCCTACCCCCACCCGTATATTACCCCTTACCCCTTACCACATGCCCCCTACCTCGTCCCCACCCCACCGCCATCCTACCCCCACCCTTCCACCATCCTACCCCCACCACCATCCTACCCCCACCCTACCCTTCCCCTACCTTGGCCCCACCCGGATCCCGGGCCCACCCTACCGCCATCCTATCCCAACTCCCTACCCTACACCTACCTTACCCCAACCCAAACCCTACCCACTACCCCCACCCTTACCCCTTCCCTACCTCGGCCCCTCCCTGGTCCCGGCCCCACCCCTACCGCCATCCTATCCCAACTCCCTACCCTACCCCTACCTTACCCAACCCTATCCACTACCCCACCCTTACCCCTAACCACGACTCTAACCCACCCAACCCCTACCCCTAGACCTTACCACCCCACCCCGACCATACCCCTTACCCCACCCATAACTTCCCGACCCCTACGAGTAGGTATGGGTGGGTATGAAGGGTTGTGGGGGAGTATGGGTAGAGTGTAAGATCGTGGTAAGGGTAGGGGTAGGGGTCAAGGGTGTGGAATTGGAGAACTGGGTGAAAAAATTGATGAACATGTTTTCAGATTTGAAAATGGAAAACTAAAAAATAGAAACAGAAAATTGGAGATAGAAAAACTGAAAAATAAAAACAGAAAATTGGAGAACGAAAAGAAGAAGTAGAAAACAGGAAAATATCTCATTTAGTAAACAGGCCCTAAATGTCTCTCTTATAAATAGAACCAAGCCCCATTGTATTTGGGGACCACTCATTCGAATAATACTCTAAGTTTCACTCTATTTTGCTTATTTGACATTCTTCTTGTTGTTCTTGCCATTTTCCTTACCGTTCTTGTACGAAATCCAATCAATATACAATTTCTATTTTATTTAGTTTTAGCTTATCAAAATTTTGCTAAAACACTGATTCTGCTGATTTAAGAAAAAATTATTTTTAAAATATATTTTATTAATAAAATAAAGAAAATATTATATGTAAAATAGCTAAAATGATCATCTACAGCAACTTCAGCCAATACAGTCAGAAAAGTAACTGTAACCTTACTTTTTCTGCTTACAGTACAATTCAGCGCGCGAAAACAAAATTGAGATATTTGATGAAAAAGTTGCTGATAAGTTATCAAACGTTATCTAGAATCTAATGTGAAACACGAGGTAACATTTATGAATTCCCACCTTTTCCAAATCTTTGATTATTAAATGTGGCATTTGAATGTCAGTTCATTTCATTCTTTAATTATTGTAAAGCCATGATGTGCGAAATACCAATTAGGCAAGAACCTTTTTAAGACTCTGCTTTTGCTCTCTTTAAGCCTCCACAAGGTTCAATTCACTAGATTTCAATACCTTTACTTAAATTTACTTTATCAAAATTCATCCACACGGAAATTTAGTAATAATCAACTAATTTTAATGATGGGACACCATTCCTTCACGGGGGAGCGGTTCCATCCTCGCAATTCTCCTCTCAGGCGGCGGCGGCGGGGAAGAAGCACCGGCATGAGCAGAGCAACCAGCAATCTTCCGACACGTGTCAATGAGACAGTGGCGGCACGTAGGGCAGGAGGAGTGAGAGGTCAACCACTGGTCAATGCAGCGGACGTGGAATCCGTGGTTGCATTTCGGAAGGATCCGGATCCGTTCCCCGGCGGCGAATTCCGACAGGCAAATCACACACTCTGCGTCTAGGCCGGGCGACAGCTTCAGATCATCGCTCGAGTAGCTTATCGTCGGGAACATCTTGAGGGCCTTCTTTTTAATTCCGGTGTTCGCCAATCTCGCCGACGGATCGGAATACAGCAATTCGCCGGACGCGATTATGTTCCAGCACCTTAACAAGCTCCGCACGATGGAGTTCAATCCGAGCGTGAAAATGAAGGCACACAATAGGACCGATAGGACCATCACTACATTCTCGTCCAATGCGTTGCCGCCCGCGGCCGGCTCCGCCGTCCTTCCGTCGATGACGTTGCTGCTTGCCGGCGGCGGTACTACGTGGGTTGAGGGCCGCAGTAATCTTCTGGACTGAATATTCTCTAACAAATTTTGAACAGAAAGGGTAGATGAAGAAGATGAGACAGTGGCCGCCATTGATTTTAATTATTTTTCTTCCCTTTTTAGTGATGTTATGAGTTTGTGGGAAGCAGATATAAATAGGCAGAAAGTTGGTGCAAGGGGTAGGCAACTTTTTTATCCCTGGGTCTAAATAATTGAAAGCATAACCTGACTACACGAGTATAATTATAATTTCCCACGAGTAACAACCTTTCTTTAAATAAAGGAAAAAATAATTAAAATATCTCAAACTTTGAAGGGGTGTGAGATAAGCACACCAAACTTGCATATGTAATTTAAATACTCTGAATATTATATAAAAGTTATTTTAGCACCATGGTCATATATTATTTCTTTAAAAAATGTTGTTTTGAGTGTTAATTTCATAAATTAAAATATTTTAGCATTCTTGAAGATACAATTAACATTCTAAACTTCCATTATAAAATAAATAATACTACCCCACTCTATATAATTGCATCATTTTTAATTTGTTATTTTAAATTATGCAATTAACATCATAAATTTACATTTTTGAAAAAAATAATATATGGTCATGGTGCTAAAATAATTTTTATGTCATGATCCTGTCAGGCCGGCCTGACAGGACTCGCCGTCCGGCCAAGGGCTCTTGGGACCCTTACCAGTGGAATTTTTTGATGAAATTTTTTGAGCATGTTCATCATCAAGTCTAGTTTATCCATACCAAATTTCAGCTAAAAATTCAATCGGGAAGGCAGTCAAAAAAATTACCTACTAAAACTGGGCAGTTTATATATATAAACTGCCCAGTTTTAGTAGGGAATTTGTTTGACTGCCTTCCCAATGGAGGTTTTATCTGAAATTTGGTATGGATAAACTAGACTTGATGATGAACATGCTCAAAACATTTCATCAAAAAATTTCACCGCGAAGGACTCCAAATGGCCTCGGCCTGACGCGGTTCCCGTCTGGCCGGCCTGATATGAACTGCCCTCTTAAATTACATATGAAAGTTTGGGGTGTTTATCTCACACTTCTTCAAAGTTTGATGTATTTTAATTAATTTTCCCTTAAATAAATTACGATTCGTGAATTTTAAAATTGATTGATAATAACATTATATCTTTCTCGCAAATGATTAAATTAGTTTTAATAATTAAAATTTTTGTACTACTTTGAAAGTTCTATAAGATACCAAAAGCTATATTAAAGTACGTAGTATATACATCTGTTCCATTTTATGTGTCTCACTTTGATTTGACACGATTATTTATGAAGTGGTTGAAAAAGTAAAAGTTGTGGTTGAAGTTTGAGTATTTTAAAGTGAAATGGTGTAGGCCACAATGACACATATTTCTTTTCAAAAAAGGAAAGAAGACTCTTATTTTGGGACAACCCCAAAAAGAAAGTAAGACATGTAAAATGGGACAGAGCGAGTAGAATTGATAGTTTTGAAATTTTTTACCCATAGACGGAGTATTTGATAATTACGAGCCCGTTTGGTAGTCTTATTTTTGTTTTTTCACTTATCAGCCAACTTTTTCACCAAACACGTAATTTTTGATTTCGCGCGCTGAATTGTGTAATAATAAGAAAAAGTAAGGTTGTACTTACTTTTCCGGCTGTATTGACTATAGTTATTGTAGAAGACCATTTTAGCTATTTTTTCATATAATATTTTCTTTGTTTTATTAATTAAATGTATTTTAATTTTTTTTCTACAAATCAACAGAATCAGCCAATACATCAACTTTTACCAGAACTTCATAAATTTTAGCAATATCAGCCGATACAGTCGATTTGGGTGTTATCAAACCGGCTCTACATTGCCGGCACTAGCATGGGTGGTGGTTCTTTAAAAAAAGTATGGGTGGGGTGGTGGCACTAGGATTTGCGGCTTGGCGATGGCAAGAGTGGAGGGCGGCGTCAGTTTGGATACTAGGTGGCGGCAATCTAGTAACACATCTAGCGTTTTAAATAGAGTTTTTAAATTTTAAATGTTTGATTATATATATATTTAGAAATTCATTAGGAGTAATTTTGTCAAATCAATGCATTTGTGGTCCTCTGAAATGTGAATGTCCTATTTGTGATTTTAGTCCTATATATCTAGGAAATTAATCCTTTGTAAAAGTGAATGACCTATATTTATATAATAGAAATCGAGAAGTACCATACATGATTAGTTCAAAAGTTCTCATTGCAATCTGACACGATTATTTAGACAATAATTAAATATGCTGATTTGAGTACATTTTGAGAAATGGTTTTGATAGGTACATAATACAATGATGAGTTATTGATGTTAAATGTGATGCTATATATATTGTTTTTATTATTGGATGATCGAATTGTTATTTAAGATGAGTTTTAATTGCTTCTTAATATAGAAATTGAAAACGTTTAGACGGCGCGGGTCGATAAAAGAGGGAAAACAATAACCTTTGAATGAGACACGGGGGTACAAAGGTTGAATTTTCGTCTGATTCAATTTTTCTACATATTGTAAACGGAATTGGCTGAATTTTGCTCCCAAATTAAACTGTCTTCAGAATCAAATGTGAAACACGATGTAACAATTATGAATTTTCTCCTTTTTCAAATCCTTGATTATTAAACCGTGGCATTTCAATGTCAGTTCATTTCATTCTTTGATTAATGTAAAGCCATGATGTGTGAAATACCAATCAGGCAATAACCTTTTTAAGTGCCTTCGAAAGACTGTGCTTTTGTTCTCTTTAAGCCTCCACAAGGTTCAATTCACTAGATTTCAATACAATTAATAGAGGGGACTTGTATATGCATGTGCTTATACAATTATATTTGTTTAGATGCATGCATGTATATACCCTTTCATATATGCCTTCTTTAAATGTATGTATATACCCCTGAGTATAAACCCCTCTATTAATTTTTTAAAAATGTATACCACCTACAACTAGTTATTTTGTCTAATAACACTATTTTTCATATTACTGTCACCACTTGAAGCAATAAACATTTTAGACTAGCGTTAACATTTAATTTAATGTTTAGATGGCCCGTACTCAAAAGAAAATTGTAGATGGAAGTCAAGGAACTCAAGTGGAGAAGGATTAAAGTGATGGAGGGAGGGTTAATTGGTGTAAGGAATTACTTCATTTGTTTTGCGATCTTTGTATCCAATATGAAGACATAATTTGTTGTGCTAATGTCCTTTTTTGTCTTTTTATCTATTAATAACCGCTAAAAGCAAACAGGTAAGTTACCAAAAATCATTTTGTAACCCGTCAAACTAACCCGGCAGTCAAACTCGTTGACTCAATCCGTTGTTCAGAACGCGCTGACTCAATCCGTTAATCGCTAACCGCTATCCGCCAATTGCCAAACACGCCCAATAAATTAATACTAAATGAGTTTTTTACGAGAATATTACTAAAATAAAACTTATTTACATAAATATGACTATTCATTACTACAACGTAGTGCTGTAGTAACTAAAATTCAAAACTTGAACATGAATTACTATGATTTCATTACTACTCTAGTAATGAATCATATTTTTGTAAACCATCTTTATTTTGGTCATATATATGACCAAAATAATTATTTCATACTAAATTTCCGTTTGGATGAATTTTGATAAAGTAAATTTAAGTAAAGGTATTGAAATCTAGTGAATTGTAAATTTAAGTAAATTTAAGTAAATTCTTCTCTAGCTCTGCAAAGAAAAAATAATTAACAAAAAGGGTGTGCTTACATGATGGACTTGTATATGCATGTGCTTATACAATTATATTTGTTTAGATGCATGCATGTATATACCCTTTCATATATGTTTTACAAAAATCATTTTGTAACCCGTCAAACTAATCCGGCAGTCAAACCCGTTGACTCAATCCGTTGTTCAGAACGCGCTGACTCAATCCGTTAATCGCTAACCGCTATCCGCCAATTGCCAAACACGCCCAATAAATTAATACTAAATGAGTTTTTTACGAGAATATTACTAAAATAAAACTTATTTACATAAATATGACTATTCATTACTACAACGTAGTGCTGTAGTAACTAAAATTCAAAACTTGAACATGAATTACTATGATTTCATTACTACTCTAGTAATGAATCATATTTTTGTAAACCATCTTTATTTTGGTCATATATATGACCAAAATAATTATTTCATACTAAATTTCCGTTTGGATGAATTTTGATAAAGTAAATTTAAGTAAAGGTATTGAAATCTAGTGAATTTACTTAAATTTAAGTAAATTTAAGTAAATTCTTCTCTAGCTCTGCAAAGAAGCTAGAGAAGAATATGAATAAATAAAACAATTACAAAATGGATTGCCAAATGCCTAAACAAAGAAATTTCTTGAAGTGCAAATTGGAAATGCTGAATGATTTAGAAGATGACAGTAACCAACTGTGATAAAGAAATCTAGAATTCATTTTCTATAGGCCGCTTCACTGTGCAATTCATCAAGCACATAAAGGGCAGTTTTGTGCATATGGGTAGGAAACGTCTTCCTACCAGTTATTAATTACTGTTTTAAAATTAAGAATCACTGTTTTAAACAGAGAAAAAACATGCCCAAAAAATTTCAATAAAGAATTCTATCGAAAAAGGGTCCAAACGTCGCCGACTCGCTGTCCGAACCATGGTTTCGGTCCGGAATTCTGGGCATGAATATTTTTATATATAGATGTGTTGGGTGTGTTTCGGAAAATAAAGAAAATTAATTAAAAATAAATTAATTAAATAAAATGACTAGAGAAAACAAGAAAGGAGATGAAGCAGAATTAGTCAAAGCTCGTGCTACGCACGATGTCCTTAAAACGTATTTGTTGCCTCCCACGGTGCTAGGAGCGTTGCAACAATCGTTTCCCAGGATACGATGACTACGAACTAATGTTTGAGCACACAAACAAAAGTTCCAGCGAACGAGAACAAGTCTGAACACTCAGGAAATTTTCAGAATGCTAGCAGTGTGTTTTTAGAGCTAAAACGTGTATGAATTCGTGTAAAATCGTGTGTGATGATGCAAACCACCTGCCAGCCTTTATATAGGAGGATTTGTTGTGTGTAAATGGTGAATTAAT